TTGTAGCACCTTTCAAAACACTCAGACACACTGTACAGGTAAAAACAATAGGAGATAATAAAAAAAGGAACATTGTCATAGCTAAATGAAACAACACAAACCACACACAGGAAAGTAACAAAAAAAAAGTCATAATGAAAAAGCAATCTTGTACAGGTGGGTTTTGAGTTTTGATTTAAACAAGGATAAAGATTTAGTGTTGCAGATGTCAGGTGGGAGTGAATTCCAGAGTGTGGGTGCAGACCGAGAAAAGGCTCTGCTCCCCACAGTGCTAAGATGGGCGGAAGGAATAACGAGGTGGGTAGTAGAAGAAGATGTAAGTATGAAAAGGAGTTGAAATTTGAAGTAAATCGGAGAGATAGGGAGGGGTAAGATTGTGAATAATTTAAAAGTAAGTAACAAGTTTTTGAACTGTATTCTGAACTTGACAGGGAGCCAGTGGAGCTGCTGTAGGAGTGGGCTGATTTGATGGAAAGAGGAGGTTCTAGAAATGATGCGAGCTGCTGAGTTTTGGACTGCCTAAAAATCCCCCTCTAAGGGATTGATACAATATATTGTATTAGATTTGTTACTTCAAATCTGAACCTATGTAATTCTTTACTGTCAAGCAGTCCACAAACTTGCCAAAGGCCTTCAGTTGATCTAAAATTCTGCAGATGTCTGATGAAAATTAAAAACAAAGATCATATTGATCCTATTTTAGCTTCTATTCATTGGCTTACAGTCAAATCCAGAATAGCATTTAAAAGTAATCCTCAAGTATAAAGCTTTGCTGTCTTATATCAAAGATCTGATCATGATGTTCCTAACATAGCACCTCACTCTCAATCTACAGGTTTACATTCTAAAAGTAGAATGGGAGGCAGATATTTTAGTTATCAGGGTCCTCTCCTATGGAAACAACTACCAGTTGTAGTCTGTGAGGCAGAAAAAGTCTGCTTCTAAGCCAAGGCTTAGAACTTTCCTTTTTGATAAAGCTTATAGTTATAGTGGCTCAGGTTATCCAGAGCTATCTCTATAGTTATGCTGCTATAGGCTTAGACTGCTGGAGGACATAAGCACCATTTTTATCCTCCTGTTTCATTCTGTCTCTATTCTCCAATTCTACAGTATAGTTCAACCCCTAACTTTATTCTCTCTATGCTTTTTCTCATCATAGTTGCTTCATCTGGTCTATTCCTGTTTGACTCTGACACCATCCTGGAGAGAAATAACAGGTTGCCTGCTACCATCAACACCTTAGATTGTAGATGAAGATGATAGTGTTGGGCCCTTGTTCAGTGCTCAGTCCTGTTTCTCACCTAGACACAGCTAGAAATGCAGCTTTTACTGTAACTAACTGTATGTCTGTCTTTCATCCCTTTTGGCATGAAACTGGCTCATAGCTCTTCTGCTTAACTGGTATTTATGGATCAGTGCTTATATGCTCCTTTTGTGTGTCTTCTTGAACCCCAGTCGGCATCAGCAGAAGGCCGCTCACACTGAGCCTGTTTCTGCTGGAGCTTTCTTCCTGTTTAAAGTAAAAAAAATGTATCCTCTCCACTGTCACTGTATGCATGGTGTAAGGGATTGTTGTAGACTCTTCCAGGAGGAATGTATCCTTCAAAGTCATTGGCTTGATGCAATCAGCTGGTTTTCCTTACAAAACGTCTAACCAATCTGACCGTATATTCTGATAGAATTGCCCCCGCAAAGTGCCTTAATTTTTCCTTGTGTAATGAATTTACATTACATAAATAAACTGAATTAATTTAAACTAAACAGGATAATTTTGTTGAAGCAGTTTTAATATTTATTTGGATTATGTTTACTCCTTTTCCTGTTAAAAAACATCTGATTATTATAAATTATATATTAGAATAAAGATTAAAATTCTAGTCACTATTTGCAGTTATTAAAAAATTCTCTAAATTATTTGACCCTTACTTTGGCTTCTGAATGCTTGTTGCCTTGGAAATGTTGAACCCAATCATATTCTGGTCTTCCCTATGTTTGTCTTCTTCCACAAAAACACAGGCAGGTTGTGTTTTACAAACACAACACCATTCAACGTGTGTGTGTGTCGAACCAAAATCTATTCCCAGATGTCTAACCAAAAGTCAAAACTGTTTTCTGACCTCATCAGATAATGAAGTAAACAAAATAGGTCCCAGCTGATATTGTTCATAACAAGAAAAATAGTCTCTAAGTTTAAGGAGAGAACTGATGAAGAATGTATAAACCAATACATGATGCAATTACCCATAAATCATATTTATCACTGCTTTAAATCAGAACACATCCCACTCATTAGGAAAGTTTAAACTTATGCGTTAATCTGTGATTTCTTTGGAACACACCTCATGCGCAACATTTTTTACCTTTGCTTAAATGAGTCTGTTATGCAACCTGCTGTAATGTAAAATGTTCTTCATTTACATTCACTTTGAGAGACATGTACCAATAGAAGAAAAAAATGCTTTAATCTTTTGTTATTTGAGTTGACAGCTTCATCAATGCACCCAAGGACTGATTGACTTCATTTCCTCCCCTCTCTAAATCACTACACCGATAAGGCTGAGGGTTGCTGCTGCTGCTGCAAAAAAACTTCATTGTTCAGGAGGATTTCACTAATGTCAGCTTCTCCCGAACTATGGATTTGAAAGATGTAGAAGTGAAAGAAAAACTCTGCAGGAGTGCAACTCTAAGCCAAAGGCTCTGCATCACAGTGGTGGTCCCTACCACTCAGATATAGACATCCTTAAGAGTTCACTGTTCTTTTCAGGGTGAACTTAGTTTTCATTTATGTAAAACTTTGACAAATGGTATTTTAAAAGCACCTTGGCCTTAAAAAAAAAAAAAAAAAAAAAAACCCGGTTTCAAATCTGCTTTATTTTATGTCCTGCCCCCCTTTTAGTGTAGTCACTTAGTGGGTTAGCTATAAAAAAGAATCTTTTGAGAACGAACACTCAAAGTAAGACCATATCAATGAAATAATAGTTTCATAAAAGTTTCAGCAGATATTCTCACTCATTTTGGTAGCACAACCTAATTGGAAAAGGAAATGACTTGAAATCGAATTGACTTGCTGTCACATCATGACACTAGAGAAACGGGGGGGGTAATGAATCTTTAAACTTTGTATAAATATGTGAAAGGCAACTGTGGATTTGCAACAGTGAATTTGCAATGCAGGGAACTCTGTCAGAATGTTAATTGCCCTAGAGCATATCAATAGCATTTCAGATGAAGGAGAGGTGGAGCCTTTTAATCATCCCAGCAGGTGGCCTTGAACGAAAAACTGCAGTTAACAGCTTGAATGCATCGACTCGACTCTGCTATCCTAACCGAACCTTGAGTCCAAACTACAGTATTGGTCAGTAATTTTACACAAACATCAAAGCTCTTTAGTTTATATTTCCTCTAAACCTGCTTTCTTTTACACACAAAAAAAAACACCTAGCTTGATCTTCATATAATACAGTTATGGTGGCAGAAAATGCAAACCTATATTTTATTAATATTATATCAACATAGTTCTTGAAGAAGTGTGAGGTCACGATTTCTTAACTATAAAAATGCCCACTGCCTCAGATAGGGGAGTTCAACTGTCTTGCATAGGAGTGATGGTCGAATGAAGCAGGGGAGGGAAAGATGGATTGGGGAAACATCTACTGATCTGTCAGGGTGAAAAAAGATCTGAGCTGTCGTGGTTATATAAGAAGCTGTGATAAGTTCCTCGATAGATGTCTGGACCCAGACATGTAATGTATGGAGCCCCATCATTCTGCTGAGGAAACGGATAACAATAATAAGCCCCTTTTTTAGGGTAGAACTAGAACTGAAAGGATAGACAACATAGATGCGGAGTAATTTTATCAATAAACCAGTTCTTTAGGTCTTTTTTTTATTTTGTGTAATTTATTTAGGTCCATTTTCTTTGAAACCCTGTCCTTGAGTATTGTCTAATATTTTTTACTGATTGTGTGGATTTTCCGGTACTGCTCTCTCTTTTATTCTTATTTTATCTGCTTCTCCATCTTTTTATTTGTGTTTCATTCAATTTCCCCACTGTGGGAAAATAAACATAGTTCTTTTTTTTCTTTTCCAATCATTTTCTCCCTTTTTTTTTTTTTTTTTTGTCTGACCCCGTTTTATCCCTGATGTTTATGTCCAAAACATTTTTATTCCATCCTGTTTCAGATGCAGTGTTTGCTGTCCCAATACTTATGTTTTTTGTTTCTCTGTCTTTTTAGTTTTATTGAAACTCTTTTACATAATTCTATCTACTTTATGCTTGTGTTTTGGGTCTTGCATTGCACACATGCGCAGCTGATACTTAGCTCTTCATTAATTGCTATCCAAAAAAAAACTGTACTGGTAAAATAAAGCTTTAAAACATTTTAACCATCAAAAATGAATTCTATTTAGATTATAACATGGTTAAACCAACTTCCATTATTCTCTTCCTCTTGTTTATTCTTATGGTGACATAACGTTTTACATTTTACTTAATTCTTGCTATTTTGAATGCAATAAAAGAGATATTAAGTGGTAAAGAATTTGTTTTTGCAGAATTCCGACTTAATCATGTGAAAACTAAGAATGTTGCACATCTGTCACTCCTTCAGGATCCTTTCTTCCTCCCATTTTCTTCTCTTTTTTGTAAATCTGATTTGAAATAACCTTGAGCTTCTTGCATTGAGACTATTTCTTTGTTTTGTTCTCTAATTCCTGTGCAAGGCTGCAGCACTCAGTGCCTAACAATTAACACAAGTCTAGGACCATCTCAGGCAGCTCTCTCACCATGGAAACTCAACTATTGTATGAGAGCTGAATGAAGCAGTGCAAAAATTAAAAAAAGAAGAAATCATGACAAGGAGAGAAACAATTTCATGGCCGATTATTTCTACTTGGAACCTAAATGAATATGATTAGCAACTGAATCCTCTTTTAAAGTCAGAATGCCAATGAAATTCCAACTTTATTTTTTCACACCTTTATTGTCACTTTATAGTGCATTAACAAAACAATGTTTGACACCCAAAGCTAAGAGATACATCAAGATATCAGATGGAACAATAATTACTGCATGTGTGAGACTCAGAGCTTGGTTCATATTAAAGGATTTTTGTTCAATGAATGAACAACAGTGACTAAAATAGGTGGGATATCCTTTGTAAAACTGATTCTCTGCTAAGTTACAATGATAAAAATAAGTCTTATAGTGGCTAAAGGCATAAAAACAAGGCACAAGAACAACTTTTTAATAGAACTACTGCAGTAATATAATCCTGAAGCAAATTTATAGAATAAATATCTTATCTAATCAAACGTACCACTATTTTCACAGCATTCAAAAAAGCAAGGCGGCAAATCCATTAAAAGGATTATTTTGCAAGATATAATAAAAAACATGATATACATTTCTGCTAATACAATTCAAACTTGGTTACATCAAATACATTTCATGAACATGATGAAAACTTCGGTAATTGTATAAATGAGGAGGTTGGTGGCTATTAAAGTTTCAATAAAGAATGCTGCCCTTTTATTTAGTTAGCAACCATTCAGTTTCACTTATTAACCTTTATCATACATTCACAAATTCACAAATATTAACCTGTAACGATACAATTTAAGCAGAAATGTACACTCAACCAGATAATGTGGTTCTCATTAAAAATGTGTGGTTGTCTTTTATTTTGCACATATGCTATAAAGTCATTGACTTTAGCTCTGAAGCCCTCTACTGTACATATGTTAATCATACTTTTAGACGAAGAAGATGAAATGTCCATGGATTGTGCACAGCACCAAAATCTCACAGTTGAAAATGCTTGGTGGTGAGGTAGAGTCTCAACAAGAGAACACCTCATTATGATGCAAAGTTTCTCTCTGAAGACCGAAAGTGCTGATCTGTTTTCCACTGCCAACCGCCTTCACAGTCAACTGTCTGGTCAAGGATCAAAAACCTCGCTTCATTTGCGATTGACAGAGAATGATTCCTGAGTGGAGAGTGAATATTCTACAAAGATTGTTCTTTAAACAGCAGTTCACAAATACGTAGTACTGCAAAGCACAAAATTATCACTGACATATGTTGTTAATAAGCTGTAAAAAATACTATTAACAAATCCCTTCCCTAGAATGATCAGGGGAGTTATTGTACTCATTCTCTGCCTGCAGCTGCAGTTAATCTTTTGAGCATGTGAGAACGCCATTATTCACCTTACTGCGACAGCCACTTGGGGAACATGCAGGTCAAAGGAACAAAACATTTGCATCTAGCCACAGCAAATAGTGGAAATCCATCAACATGTACCGGTAATAAATGATGCCAAGGTGCTAACAGTTTAGCTTTAGCTTTCCACAGTAGGAAGTTAATCAGTTATTAAATATGTACATTGAGATTGGGTTACATCCAAAGTCTCTAATGTAGACCACCATCGTGCATCCCTATGGTCTAAGTTTGATTTCAATAAAGTTACTATGTATGCGACAAATCTCATACAAAGACCAAAACCAACATAAGACCTTGACAAGCGACTCTTTAAATAATACTAATATTGAGTTAAAAAGCGGAATGGGTGTTATCCCGTCTATTTAAATTGGCCTTTTTTTTAAATGCATACTTATAGTGTACACAAAAGCCACTTTAATGAAATCTAAAATGTTGGTCTATGCATTACCCCCTACTAACAGTCAGGATAGCCATCAACATGTTTTATGACATTTGAATTTTTAGAAGGAATCAGCAAACATTCAAATCCATTTTTCCTTATTTCTACATGTACTTATGTGCTGATCTTGATATACATGAATTTTATTTACTTATTTGAATTAGGACAATCCACGTTTATCCACATGAAAGCTTAAAGCATCAATGTAAATATGCCAGTATCAGCACAGCTAACGTAATCAGAATGTTAAATGTTGTCATGAATGTTTTCAGATTTAACTATTCTTCTTGGTCTCTTGCCTAAAATAAGCAAACCTCTTCATTTTAGCTAAACTGCTCCCACACTGTTTCTAATTTAGCAAAGTTAGCAACTATTCTGTGTATCCAAAATTGAATATGAAGGTAATCATAATGTAACATTGAAAGTGAAATCGGCAGCTAGATTGATCTCAGTGACAAGACTTCCAGAGTTTGTTTAGGGTTTTCCTATCCTAATCAATGACATTTGGGCTGTACAAGTGGATTTTGTTATTCGTTGACATATTGGAGTCTATGTCTAGGATTGGTTTGAAAATGTTCAGATTATGACTTAATGGGATGTTCAAAATGTTAATATATAAAATAGCTTCAACTTAGAGTTACATTATTATGGGCAATACATTAGAATATTGATAGCATTGTGGAATTCTGGGAAAGTTGAAATCATTGTTGGTTTTGGTCTTTTATTGGATTTATTAAGGAAATACTGATTCCTCTTAGATCGTTGTAGTGATTTGAGTTAGACACAGGTCAATAGAGTCCTCCCAGCTTTGGTAAGGCCTGGAGGACATGTTCATGGCTAGTCATACGGGCCTGGCTTGTCTCCCATCTCCCCTCCCTTCAGTGGCACAGGTGTGATCCCGCAGCGTGCTCCTCACTCTGCTCACCCCGTGACAGTCACCCTGACCCCGCCCTCCAGGGCAGCAGAAGTCTCTGAAGCACCTCTTAAAGTTCTCATCCAGGAAAGCATAAAGGATGGGGTTGAGGCTGCTGTTGGTGTAGCCCAGCGCCACGCAGAAGAAGTAGGCAGCCATGACGGCAGTGGTCTCGGGTATGTTGGCTGACAACGCTTTGACAAGGATGAAGATGTGGATGGGCGTCCAGCACACCACAAAGACAGCAACCACCACCAGCACCAGGCGAGTGATCCGGCGTAGGTTACGGTCTTTCTCGCGTGAGCCTGACAGGAGGCGCACGCTCTTCAGTCGCAGCACCATCAGGGTGTAGCAAACAGAGATGATGATAAGGGGCGCCACAAATGCGAAGATGAAAACACATATCTTCATCAGGGTGTCCCAGTAGGTGTAAGGCTCAGGGAACTGTAAAGCACATTCTGTGGTCCCTGTTATCATGGAAGAGTTACAGAATAATGAGATTAAATAATGTGATCAAACAGCAGAACAGCTATAAGGCTTAAGAAATTTGAAAGGGGACCAGTCATACTGCCTAACTGAATTTCAATATCAAGATATAGAAAAATAGCGAAGCGATAATAGTATATGCAAGTAGTGACCAGCAGACATAAACTTTGCCATTTGCTGTCAGTACTTACTCACTTATTCCACACCTATGTAGCTTTGGCAGTTTTAGCACCTGCTTCAGTAAATACCAATGTTTATGTTTTCAAAGGATTGCTTCTGTCTTGCCCATCTAGACATTTGATATTGTTTTACACTTTTCCACACTTGATTTTTTTGACTTTTGTTTTTTCTGTCAAAACCCCCGATAGGGAAGTTAATACTTTACTTTGAGTCACCTGGTCTTTTAATGATAAATAGTGAGAAAAAATGCTGATGTTTACTGAAAAATAGACTAAAAAATTTTAAAACACAGAAATAACAGATAATAAGCCTATGGGGCAAGATAATTTAATCAGAAAACCTTTTTATGCTGACTAAGTGAGCTCCTGGCTTAGAATTATTAACTCATAGTATACAACTGGACCCCTTTAAAAAAATAGACTTTTGCTAAACAAAACAAAAAATCAGTGGTTAACAGATTTGTAAAAAATCTTTTTATCTTCTTATTCACACACTTCTGTAGATCATGACAATCTTTTTAACTGCCTCAAAAATCTTAACATTTTTTTAAACATTTTGTTGTGTTTCAACCACAAACTTCATAGTATTTTTTCAACATTTTGGAAAATCTGATGGAATAACATGGAGGTCTTCAGTATGGGGGTCTCTGAGCTACAGCGGGTGGGTTATGAATGCAATAAATCACAAATTGTAACATTTGCATCATTCCTTAAACAAGAAAAAAAATTTGATTTGTTACCTTTACATTGGTACCAAAAGTGTATACTAAGAACGGAATTAATCTTGATTTAAACATTGTAGTTTTTCAGACAGAAATGAGCTCTAGAACCCTTTTGGCCATGTTAAACCTTCGTGGTAAGTACTCTAACCACATGTCTGATAATATTTTTGTCAACAACCTTGAAATGCCTGTTAAATTATGCTGCACTACTCCCTGAGGTGCAGACATGCAAAGGAGATCTTAGCTATGTCTCTCTGGGGCCCCGAACTTTGCTGCAACTTTAGGTGCAACTCTTTTAGAGTTTGCTTAGACCAGTTTTGTATTGTGATATTTTCTCCTTTATTTCACGTTTTCCCTAAATTTTTATCTCCAGCATTTTGGTGAACTCTGACCAGCTGGATTAGAGCATCCTAAAAGCATAATGCTGCAACCATCATTTTAGATTTCACACATTTTGCTTTAAAAATGATGGGCAGGGTTTAACTTTTGACCAATCAAGAATAATTTTTATGATACCATACCATGTTATCTTCTTGCTCAAGTTTGCTTTGTCTCCTTCATATATAGAATATATTTTTTTTTATGTAACTAAAAAATGGTGCCTTTTCAGAATTCAACTTCTTTGTCTTAAAGTTATTTCCTGGACACAACAAGTAGTTTGATGCTCCTTTACTTTTTCCAGGGCTATCAGAAAAGGGGCCTGAATTAAAACACCACCAGGTTTTACTTTTCATGTTTTCTAAATTATTTTGGGATTTTTGTCATTTTCAGTTTACAAACACACTACAAACATACACTATTTGTGCTGGTCTGTCACATAAAATCCCATTAAAGCACTTTATATTGTGATGTTGTAATTTGACAAAATGTGGGCAGATTAAAAGGAAACTAATGTAAAATCGAGAGATAAATGTTTGTCTTTAGAAAGGTCCTCAGGTCAGATTAAAATGATGAGATAATGATCTAATAGCTTTTCATAAAGTGAATGTCAGTTTAGAAACAATTTTCCTGTCAAGACTAGCAGCTCTTCTAGACTTTTATTAAGAAGGTCTTGTTTAATAAATTGAGGCAGTCAATTAGAATAACTAGGGGCAAATATTCTTAAATGAAAGGACAATGAAAGATTAGCAGTTTGAAAATGAAGGAAAAATCTAAGAACAGGACTAAGACTGATTTACCATTGTTGGTATTGGTGCTGCCCAGCACCATGGCAGGGATCCCAGCAGCTGAGGAGAGCACCCAGATGATCACATTAATGATCTTTGCTTTCACAGGGGTGCGGAAATCCAGGGCCTTGACTGGGTGACACACGGCAATATATCGATCCACGCTCATCATGGTCAGGGTGAAAATACTGGTGAACATGTTGTAGTAGTCGATGGAGATGAAGACCTTACACGCCACCTCGCCAAATGGCCAGGAACTGAGCAGGTAGTCAGTGCTCTGGAAGGGCATGGTAGTAGTGACCAGGGCATCAGCCACAGCCAGGTTGAAGATGTAGATGTTAGTGGCTGTTTTCATTTTGGTGTATCTGCAAAGGGAGAATATGAAAATGGGCGGTAAAACCACATTTATGGAATAACTGAATTCCATTCGACACTGTAAGAACCAAATTTTAATATTAATATTAAACACCTCAGATCTCATTATAAGGAAGACGAGTCAAAGGTAATATGACAATAATCTCTAACATAACCCTTTAAAAACCAAAATAAATATTAAAATGACCTTTCAGTTAGATAACACAGATTGAATACTATTTAAACTGAACTCCAACTGTACTTTGTACATAACTATACAAAGTTGTATATTTTGCAATTAGATATTAATATGATAAACACAAAGTTTTATATTAAAATACTATAACATTATATAATATAAATATTATATTTTTATATAAAATATTGTTATTATTATTCAGTGATTTTAAGTATTGCTCTTTGAAAATGAGTATTATGATCTACTGAAGAAACTTAGTTGTAATGGGATTTTTAATTTCAATTACATTCTACACTGTAAAAACCAAATATTAATGAAGAGATGATGCAGAGAATCTTTTTGAAATCATTATGTTGATGCCTGATGTCTATCACTCACTTATTATCATAATTTTAATGCCATTTCTTTCTTTCTTTCTTTCTTTCTTTCTTTCTTTCTTTCTTTCTTTCTTTCTTTCTTTCTTTCTTTCTTTCTTTCTTTCTTTCTTTCTTT